TTAATTATAAAAAATCAATAATATTTTATTCATACTTAATTGCATTAATAAATCAGGATTTAAACAATGTACACAAATTTTTGTTTTAAATTTATGAATGTTTATTATATTTATTTATATGTATAAAAATATATATTTTATCGAACTTTTTTACATGGGATTTTGTTTTCTTCTTCTTTATATTCATCAACTTCTTCATCTTCAAACTCAAAATAATTATTAATTTCCGCGTTGTCTTCTACTTCTTCGATCGAATCGATTTCGTCATCGATTCCTGTGAAATTTTGAATATTTTTGCAAACATTTTTAAAACCTATTTTAAAAAATTTGATTTGGTTGGATATTCCCAAAGTTATTCTAATTGTTTATAAGTACAAAAATTCGACCAATGTTTAAACAAGCGCCAGAGCTCTCCTAATTGACGGATTCGAATATTTCGAAAAGCGTTTGAAAGCTTGAGAGCCCTTCTATATGTGATTAAATTTTCAAGTATCTAAGGGCCTTGGTTTTTGCTGTGCAACATTTTGAAAATTTGCAAATTTATTTTTCAAAATCTGGATTGCAAAATTATTATGCGAAATCTATGGAACCGATTTTGATGTAATTTGATGGGATGCTTCTACATAACATGAAGTTTTCTTGAGCCAAGTATGAAGGTCCTATACCCAATTTAAAGACCCCAAAAAATTCCCTAAAAAGTATTGTTTTTTAACTCTATTTTTGGCGATTTTTTCGATTTTTACCATAATAATCATGATCCATTCGATTTGTAACCAGTCACATTATGTAAAATTTAACTACAAACATTTATTTCCTCTTCCATTTTCGTCTAAAATCAACTCTTCAGATGCATAATTAAATAGGAAGAAAAATATGACATATTTGAATTTTTTAAACATATTGTGCCGCCAAAAGTTAAGCCTACGTTTTTTTATGCGCGTAGAAAAATTTTCATTTCTAGTGAAAAGCCAAAAAGCCAAAAATCTCCGTGGATATACGGTTCACCCAAACCAAAACAGATACCGCCTAGTCTACAATCATAAATACAAATTTCTGCTGCTTTAAAAATATTTATTTTAATCAACTCTCAACCATCTGTTATGTTTTCAGAATACTGATTTCAATATTTTCTTTACTAGTTTCCATACATGTTGAATATTCCTTTTGACTTATTCTATCCGAGATTCATAAGTTAATAATAAGACTTTCGTGATGTTCAGCGTCAATTTCAAGGTAGGGTTTAATGGATGATGACGGTGAGTGTCCGGTTATCTTTATCAGTTGTTGGTCACTTATACCTGCTTTGGTTAAGTGAGAAACTGTACTGACTACTGGCACGGTTTGAATGGTTGGTAATTTTATTATTTGTGATGCCCAGTCCAATTTTAGCTATAGATTCTTTTGTCCATGTAGANTTAGAATATATATCCGGCCGCTGGGGAGTGAATTTTGACTCACCCTGTATAGATATAGATAGAAATCTTTTCAATAGTTATAAACAATTTAATACAATATTTCAACCCTTAAAAAACTACCCCTAATAACAAAATATTAAAAAATAGTTTGAAGTGATTTGATAGTACAAACACATAAATTAAATTATTTTACCTGTTTATAATACAATTTATAATTTATCGCATTTATAATTTATCGCATTGCTTAAAAATCACCTCCAATGAGAAAATATAAAAAAATATTTAAAATGAATTATAATTTTTTTTTTCGTAATACCACAGAATAAATAGCTACGCGTAGCTATTTATTCTGTGGTAATACCTAACTTTCTTGCGATTTACTTTAATTGATGCAATATTTAAAATAATTATTTCTCAATATTTTTTTCATGCAGTCATAATTTAAAATTTTCAAATTTCGTATCTTTTTTATTTTTAGTTATTTTCAAAAATATGTTATTTTTATGGAAATATCAAAAAAATTTTTTCAATGAAAACAATACATATTTTAACAAATATGCATTCTAAACCGCCTAAATTTGTATAATATATATTGTTAGCACATAAAAAATGTAAATTGTAGAAGGATTACCTTTAATTTTAAACCTCGTGAAAAATTCATCACTTTTTGTACTGATTTTTTTTTCCGAAAAAGCGAATTAACAGTTTTATTTTGATCATAACTGTTAATTTTTATGCTAATGACTTAAAGTCTAGTTAATTTTAAGATTTTTTAAAGTACTTTAAAAAATGTTCTGTGCATTTTTCTTGAAAGATATAATTTTTTTTTTAGTTATTTTACGGTGAATGCTTCCAATTTAGTTTCTGGCGGACATGAAATTATCTTTTTTTATTACAAAATGTACATTTTCAATCAATAACTCAAACAACTTATCGGAAAATGTTCGTTTTGCTTAAAATTGATTGCTTTATTGATTCCTGGGGTTAAGTTCAATATTTTATTTTTCACACCCTAGAAGGGGTGGCTTCCATCCCCTGGGCAAAAGCGCTCATCGGCACTATAGTCAACCAAATTACACTTGGAGAAAAAAAAAATTGTTACTTGGACTTTTATAAGTGGAAATGGTAAAAGGGCTTATAATAAACCTAAAAAAAAATAAATGCGAGAGCAGGGGCGGCGGAGGGTTGATTTGGGCGGTTGAAATAGTTATGAAAAATTGTATCATTGGGATTTCTGGCGAAAGTTAACGTCAAACAAAAAAGTATCCAATACAAAAGTTGTAAATCATGCAAAATTCTACAACATTTGTAGAGGCCACTTTTTAAGATAACTTCAAAATTTCCGAGAAAAATGCGAAAAACAGGTTTTTTCTGATTTTTCGTTTTTTATTTCTCATTTCCACAAAAATAATTTAATTTTGTCGAAATTTGGTGAAAATATACCTTTCTGTGTCTTAAATAACCGTATATTGTTATGACTTCCTCCAATAGATATTTTTTTTCTTAATTCGACTTAGATGTTTATAGCAATTATGTATAAAAATAAAGGTTTGGGTCAAACATTGAGACAGTTTTTTTTTTGTATTTTTTTCATACAATTGAATGGTGTAATCAGTTTTTAATTTTTTAAATTTCAACATATCAACAATTACTGAAAAATTCATTGTTGCAAGTCATTTTTTATTTTTTTGCATTTTTGGGCATGTTTTTGAACTGTGATTACAGATTTTTTATTTCACCAAAAAGTATATGTCAAAACGAAAAAAATGATCATCGGCATAACTCTGTAGGTACGATGATTTTTCTAAGTATAATTTTTCTGAGAAAAAAGTGTTTTAGACCGGAAAAAAATAATATCTCGGAAACTCCTTAATTTTATTTTCCTAAATAAATTTGTGGTTATTTAAGACGCAGAAAGGTGTACTTTCACCAAGTTTCGTCAAAATTAAATTATTTTTGTGGAAATGAGAAATAAAAAACGAAAAATAAGAAAAAAAACTGTTTTTCGCATTTTTCTCGGAAATTTTGAAGTTATCGTAAAAAGTGACCTCTACAAAAGTTGTATATTTTTGTATGATCTACAACTTTTACATTAGATACTTTTTTGTTTGACGTCAACTTTCGCCAGAAATCCCAATAATACAATTTTTCACAACTTTTCCGCCACTCCTGCTCACGCATTTATTTTTTTTAGGTTTAATTTAAGCCCCTTTACCATTTCCACTTATAAAAGTCCAGGTAACAATTTTCAACTTTTTTTTTCCTTCTAAATGAGATATTTCGATCGGTCTATTATAACTTTTGTTTCTTGAGCTATTCTCTACTTACAGTCCAAAGGTTTCACGTCAATCGGTTCTATCCGAAAGAATTCGTAGGGGGAAACCCTTGGTTCCCTGGACTATAAAAAGCAGTGTTACATAGACACTTTATACCTAGTTTATGAAGAGAAACTTTTAATTTTTCAAATTCCAACGCACCTAACAGGCTTCAGAGCTGGCGAAGAAAGAGCCGACAAAGAAAGTAGCAACGCCGTTACAACTGCAAACGGACCCCAAACCGACAACGACGTAACAGCCAAAGATAACGACAAAGCGATCATGATGGATATAATAAAAAAACGCGTTCAAGACGAGATCACCACCTACCTAGACAAAGCCAAGGCGTCGGCGACGAAAAACCACCGCCCTCGTCTGATGAGGTCCCATTTCGACGTGGTCAACATCCCCCCACAAATCAACCTCCTCGAATACGCCCAGAAAAAATTAGAAAGACAGTTGTCCCTGGAACCCAAGTCCGTGACGGAACACGAAGAGTTCCAGAAGCAGTTATTTAACAGCGCCGTATCCGCCAAGAGGTCCCTGAACATCAGACCGGGCACCCCGATCAGGGTGACTAACATGTTCCGAAAACTCTCCCAGGAGAACTTTACGAACTTAGAAGGCGCTCTTGGCGGTGATTTACTGAGGCGCGAATTCAATCAGTCGGACGGGGACAGTGTGATTTTGGACGACGAGGAGTTCGAGAAGATCAACGGGCACGTTGGAGAACAGGGCGATAAGAAACTGCGGGGGAATTGTTCAGGTAATTCATTCATGAGATAGCACTTTAGTTTTATTAGTGAGGCAACACTCTCTACAGGCCGGTGTATGTTGTGTTGCCTGTCCGTATGTAAAATTAGTAATCGGTTGAGATCACGAGATGCAGGACAATCGTCGGTCGTAAAATTAACTACTGCTCGGAAATTGGTCCCTTATAGTCCAGGCGATATCTGTCTTTCAAAGGGTGTACTTGGGTAAAACGCATATGATCGGGGATTTTTGCTTTAATGGCTTCTAAATAGAATCAGAAATGATAATTTTTCTATGCAAATAAAAAAAACCTGGGCTTAATTGTTATTGCAAAAAAGTATAAAAAAATAGCAAAAAAATTCATTTTTTTATTGGATTTCTCGTCGACAACTTAGCAACTATTCATTTTAGACAGAAATGGAAGAGGAAAAAAAGTTTTGTAATTAAATTTAGAACAAGATAGAGTTAGTTGCAATTCCAACAAATAATTATTGTTGTTGCAAAAATCGGAAAAATCATTTAAAAAATTGCAAAAAATGCTAGTTTATTTGCAAATTTTTTTCAGACACTTGAATAATACCTAGGATCTTCATACTTTTCCCAATTAAACTTCTTAGTGCATAGAATCATCACACCAAATTTCATCCAATTCGGTTAGATAATTTTTACATAATAATTGTTTAAATTTTTTATTTTTTTTAAATTAAAAAATTTTCAAAATCAAATTTCTAAAAATCTAAAGCCTTTGAATACTTGAAAATTTCACCACAAAAAGAAGAGCTCTCAAGCTTTAAAATGGTTTTTGAAAAATTCAAATCGGACGATTAGGTGAGCCGTGGTGATTGTTTAAACATT